ATTATTATTAATACAATTATTATTACTATCTAAACTTATATGAACTTGTTATCTTAACAAATTGTACGCAAAATTCCATTTGGTAAGTCTGTCATTGGTGTTTCGGTGTTGCTTTTGACGATGTCATCGTAAAACATGACAAGTTCTTCCTAAAGCATTTCGATTGACGCGCAATGACGTCATTTTCCGCGCTGAGCTAAAATGTCTAACGTGACGCCGCGTTTTCTAATGACATCACGTGGTTCCGTGACGTCATCCGCAGCTGCAAACGTCGTATTACTAAAAACAAAAAATACTCAAAAAAAACAACCAGAGATAGATCCATCAGCGCCAGACATAGTCGCACGATAAAATACGTTGATGCTATTCTACTTGAATGCCGCAGTAGGAAAAAAACCGGTAAATTTATTAAACACTCACAGAAGAGAGAGAGAGGAGAAAGAGAGCGAGAGAGAGAAAGATAGACAACGTGAGAGGGAGAAAAAAAGAGCAACATATATATATATAAGATAGGGGGCGTAGCGTGACAGATAGCAAAAGGGGCAAGACGACAGACAGTGCGCTAGCGAAAGTGATAGAGATAAAGCATACTGGAAGAAAAAGAGACAGAGATAACCCCTGTGAGAGCGTAAAAGAAAGAGAGGGACAGAAAGCGAAAGCCTGAGAAAGGGGGCTGTGTTCTGTCCAGTACGCATGCGTGTGTCTACGCAAGGGATGACGTAACGTATCTAAATTTAACTGTGTTCAATAATCAAGTTCTCTTCTCTCTCACATGTATATGGTTAGGGATTTTACCCCTTACAGAGTAAGGTTACGGCGTTTTAATTTGAAATTAGGTTTGCTATATTAGCGGAATAAGCTAGGAAACTATCCCTTGCGCTAACACAGCCGCACGTAGACGGGCGCCCACGCCTCCGCGCGTTCTGACTTCACAGTTTTACGAGCGCGGCGTCTGGCGGCAGTCTACTACACGGTGGTTTTTTTCTACGATTGCAGGGTTTTCTGGCGCAGAAGAATTTCCACGCAGGCGTATGCTACATCGGAAGACTTAACGCCATCGTGGATAGCACTTACGAGAATGCGCGCGCAGACGTCGCCGCTATGACGGTGAGTCATCCCACCTGTAGGTGGCAGCAGCGTCGCTAGGCATTTGATGGGTGCGTAGGGGTGATAGGGGTACATTAATGGATTTAACACCTTTTGGAACCAAACTCAATGTTTGAAGGCTTCACCTGAAGGGATATACTACCTGTTGGGACCAATGGATATCACACATGATGTAGATAGGGGTATACTGTAATTCGATGGTACTAACTTATATATTATTTGACCAAACGTGAATTTAGTATAACGTTAACAATTATATAATAGTATATTATTAATATCATTCGAACATAATTGATCTGGTTTGACAAAGGCAGCTCTACTGGTTATAGAAACAGGTAGCTATAATGGCTCACTATCAATGCTAATGCTAAATGCTAACTAGAGGCCTATATGATATTGACTTGCTCCTTGCTTAACCTAATTTTCATAGAGCTTATTGTCCTTTTCGTATAAGGTTTAAAATGTTACTAATTAATCAGTAAAATGTTACTAATTAATCAGTAAAATGTTACTAATTAAATCAGTAAAATGTTACTAATTAATCAGTAAAATGTTACTAATT